AAATTGTCCGTGTATTAATGTTTCAACAGCTTTTGACGAATAAACATCACACGTTGCGTGACTCAAAATTTGGCCGAGAGGGAGTTTGGGTCTGGTCACGGACAAAAAAAAAATAAACCACGGGTAGAACATGAACCGCGCTCGGCCCATGGCCACGCGGTTAACAAGTACGACTCTGCCTTCGGCTAAAGATATATTCAAGGTCCTCAAGATATCGAAACCATCGCTACATTGGCCATTTAGAAGGATTTGTGCTCCAGTGAACCCTAATTACATAGCTAAAAGCTGACATTATATTGTCGCCATATGTTAAAACTGGGATCCTTGGCTCTTAATTCCGTGCTAGGCGTTGGACCGTATAAATGCGCATGCAAGAATGATTGTTGATCTTTACTCTGTCTGTGAAGCCCTGCGTTTGCTGAAATTTCTATACTCCCTGAGCAAGAAATCCTAACTTGCTAACTCAACGAACTTTTACATGAAGTAAATATCAAGGACTTACTTTAAACTAGCACACGATTGCAAATGTTGATTAGCTAATACTCTCATGTTTCCAGCTTAGAATATTATGTATATATGTTTTACATTGAAAATGTTTTAATAGGATGAGCTTTGAAGGCAAATGTAAACTGACACAGCGTCGTATATTTAAAACAATATTTCGACTGGCCAGCAGGACCTTCGTTCATAGCTTTGCTGTTTATTTAGTTTTCATTACTAACTAGTTCTTCTTTTATAAAAGTATATCAATTTTACATGATAGACGATTCAAACCTACAAGTTAAATTCTGGAAATTCGCGCGGACACTTATGATAACAAACCCGTCGAACTAATTAAAATAATAATAAAATTAATATTTTAAGAGAAGGCCTCCAATCTGACCTGGAGATGATTTTCAGGGGGGTCCTCTTCATTAAGAATTGATGCAAATTAGATCTAGCTATATACCGCTCGATTACATCTTTGTCTCAGCCGAAAAAAAAGTTATTGGCATGCAGTTTTCTAATTACAAAACTTTTTTTTTTTTCAATTTCAGATAATTTGAACTTCCATTACGAATGAAATGATTTCTTACAAACTCTTGGTCTTCGGCCATCTAGCTTGATTAAAAATATAAAATAAAAAGCGATGATAAACATTTTAAAAACATGCATTTTATGAATTTGATGTTTCGTATGCTAGTCAACATACACTTTGAAGAGTATAACCGTTAAGATTTTTGGAAAGCTGTTTATACTGTATCAGTGGGGGTGTGGAACCTAGACAGAAAACATCTGCAGTAGAAATTTAAGACGTTTCAAACGCAAACTGTCTGTAAAGTGACACATTTCAAGGTTCTTTTGAAACGCGATCACTCTTCTGCTATTGCTGATCACGTTAAAACGGCATGTACTAAAACCCAAAACAACGAAACGAAACCACCGAAACTAAACGATCGAAACGAGTATAATAATAAGTAAATAAATGAAAAAGTTAAAAACAAAAAAACAGCCTTGATCTTTGGCACGTTACTATGACAGCCTGATCTCGTACCCAGATCCACATGTGTGAC